ATATCCCAACACTTTTTTTAACAAGCTATTGATTTTTTTTTGTTCATTTCTCTTCACATCATACATAGAAACTTCATATTTTTGAAGGTGCTGTAACTAGGAAGAAAAGGCAGCAGGTATGTTTTGCACCAAATTTCCTCTTTCATACCTTGATCTTTATATTTCTGCAAGATTTTCAAGTCCTTATTATCTTTTCCAAGCAATCAAATCTCTCTTGAATGCATAAGTTTTTAGAAGCCCTAGAGATACTGAAAGAACATTACTTTGCGGACCAACCTATAAATCACAGTTTAGCATTTCTTTCTAAAATTTATTAAAATTCTGGAAATGAATATATATATAAGTGACTACTGACTATCTACCTTAATTATTAACAGTGGTAGGTCTGGAACAGAGAGTTTTACAGATTTTCTATCAAATCTCTCCTAATTAACAACTGTTAAGAATTATTTAAAAAAAACAAAACATTTTCAAGAGACATCTTGAACAGGGTAGGTAGTGGTTTTAAGCCAAGATAAGTCCACATTTGGGACTGAATCCCTCCTCTAGTCAACCTCTGAACTTATAATCTCTCCCTTTTTAACATATGCCCCTCCAGTATCACTTACAGAGATCTAGTAATAAATTTTAAACTCTTCAATTAAATGTTCCTAAAAAAGATAAAAAACTTTTAAAATAATTTTGTTGTTGAATGCATACTTGATTTTATACATTTTAACTTATCCATACGTACACTAATACAAAGCAGAGAGCTCATCTCCAAGTGCTCTATGTGATCTACTGTTAAAAAAGGAATCAAAGAGGAGAGGAGACCTCAGGAAATAGATGCTTTGACTTTGATTGTTCCTGTTTCCAAATGCATCTCACAGTCATTTTACTTTCAATCACCCCACACAGCTGCAGCAGAGACTCTCTTCCTTGTTATTCTTTCTCCTCATTCATACTGAGTAAGAAATTTTACACACGTCAAAACTGAAATTCTACTTAATCACATCTGTTGTAGAAAATTTAATTTTATTTGCCTCTTTTGAGTAAATACATATTTCAAACCCTTCAACAAGACTATGAATTATATAAACAATATAGGTTAAGTGTTTGTGATTCTCTAAAGGCAGAAAGACTGAAATTATTGAATGAAATAGAGAAAAAAAAATTAAGACAATTTCTTAACATTTTAGTCAGAGAGTGTTCCAATATAGCTTACTTCTGAATCATTAAAGTATTTAAAAATGAAGAAAAGGGAAAAATTGAATACACACACACGTGCGGGCACACACACACACACACACACACACACAAAATCCCAAAACCACCAACCAAAAAAACAAACTGAAACCACCCACCCCCCCAAAACAACAAAAAAAACCTATTAAAATAACTGGTGAATAAAGAAGGAATAAAGATAACTGTTTTCTGGACACAGAATCACAGAATATTCTGAGTTGGAAGGGATCAACAAAGGTCATTGAGTCCAACTCTTGAGTGGCCCATACATGTATTGAACCAGCAACCTTGGCATTATTAACACTATACTCCAACAGACCGATTTAGGGGAATTAAAAAATATGGTTTTAAGAAAGTTTTAAAAGCTTTCCCCAAAGACCACAGACAAAAATATTTTGGAGTTAGTGACCCAAATATAAATGTAATGAATACAAAATATCCTTTGAAAAACATGATAGCACAACATGGTGATGGGGTATTTTTGAAGCCTATGATTAAAATGTGGAAATAAGCTGCTCCTATTACTGCTGCTTGCAGCTATGAGTATGTGCCTGTGGTTTGAAAGAACAGAAGCAACTTTCCTGCAGTGGGTACATTTTTGAAGGCTAAAGATTAGTGCCTCCTAGTGGTCTCTAATGAGTCAGTTCTTCTTGACTATGTCATTAAGAAATGTTCCCAAAATCACAGATTTCACAAACTTCCCAGTAGAAATCAGAGTACTATAAAACAGCCTCTTGGGGAGCAGAAGGAACTTTATGTGGTTTTTTATCAGGCAAACTGCAGGCAATGAAGACTTTGTTTTTCTGCCAATTGTTGAAATATTCTTTATCATTTCATTTATAAAATTATTTCACTTTATAAAATTTCATAAAAAATTTTGCCCTACAGTTTTGCTTTAAAAACTTTACCAAGTTGGATCCATTCAGTAAGAGAGAAGTCCAGCAACAGGGAAGGGATAATCCCACTCTGCGCTCTACTAATGCAGCCTTGCTTTGCACATTGTGTGCAGTTTCTGGCCCTGAAGTACAAGAAAAATATTAAACTATTAGAGAATATCCAAAGGAGAGCCATGAGGATGGTGAAGGGTCTGAAGGGGAACCCATATGAGGAGCGGTTGAGGTCACTTAGTCTGTTAAGCCTGAAGAAGAGTGAGGGGAGACAACAGCACAGTCTATAACTTCCTTGTGAGGAGAAGAGGAGGGGCAGACCCTGATCTCTTCTCTCTGGTGACCAGTGTCAGGACCTGAGGGAATGGCCTGAAGCTGTGTCAGGGGAGGTTTAGGTTGGATATCAAGAAAAGGTTTTCACCCATAAGTCAGTTGAGCACTGGAACAGGCTCCCCATGGAAGTGGTCCCAGCACCAGCCTGACACAGTTCAAGCATTATTTGGACAACATTCCTGGGGACATGGTGTTACTCTTGAAGATGGTACTGTGCAGGGCCAGAAGTTGGACTCACTGAAACTTGTAGGTCCCTTTCTGTAGACCCAGGTCCTGTATCACAGCATGAGATTAGTGCTCATCCTCAAGGCCTGAAGCGACATTAGATTGTGTGGTCTCTTCCTCCATTAGGATTACACCTATTTGTGCCTGATGAGCTCTAAGAACCTCTTAGCACCTCTTCAGAGAAGACATACACACCTCTATATTATCTCTGAAGTTACATTTGATCTGAGTGATTTTTTTTTAGGATACTAAGTGCTATCTATTTTTGTACAGTTCCTTCTTCCCCTCTCTGTCTCTGGTGGTATCTTCTAAAACTGTTATATCCCTTCATATTTAACCCACACTGATTTTAATTCCTCTGCCATGTTCAAGTTAAGCATGTTCACTTAAATGGAACACTCACCTGTCCTCATCGCTAAGAGATACCCTGTATAAAAGATCTTAAAGTCCAAAGAGCAGCATATCAAAAAGGTTAATGGCAAATTAAATGGTGCATTTCAGTGTTTCTTAGGAACTCCATTAAAATTTAGTACCCATTATTGGTCTTTTTAAGATACTAGCTTCCATTGAATCCACTGATTTTGTCCTTGTAGTTTCATTAATAATTCAAAAACTTTTGTTTCAAACACCTAATGTCAGCATCTTTGTCAGTGTCATGCTAATAGCTCAAACTTCACCTGAGCATAAAAGGAAGGAGATCAGCACAGACAGAGAGAATGAAACCTGAATTTCAGGCTTTCAGTAGCAATCAATCAAAAGAGGTCTATTTTACACTGAGGGATATGAGCAGAATAGAGGGGTTTTTTTTAATTAATATTTTACTGTATGATAAATAGAATTATATGGTTTTACTGCAAGGAATTATCATAGAAAGATAAACTATAAAATGTGAACTATAGATTATATTGTAGAGGCATCTCATAGTTGCTTATTGCCTTCTAGCTAGTATAATATTGCCAAACACTTTCATTCCAATTTTGAGAAACAGAGAGGAGAGGAGACTTTAAAATTAGTTCCTATATACTCCTTTGTATTTATAAAATTCCTTTATACATGGTATCTCTGCAGAAATGCAATCCATGTCTCTCATATTCTCTCTGTGAAAATATTTTTAAAATATTAAATACAAACATTTTAATAAAGAGAAAAATTGGTTGCCATAGAATCAGCAGTATTCAGCAACCTTTTCTCTTCCTTTATGCACTCATAATGGGAACTGTTCTATATTTAAGCAATACCTAATATATTGTTATGAATGCAATAAGACACATGTTCTAAGATAATAAAAGGATTAGTTACACTTGATACTGTAGGTGGCTCATATTCAATAAACAATAATCTTGCCCATTGGAGGCTGATTTTGGTTCTAGTTTTCAAAAATATCATTTTAAGAGGTAATGTTGCCTACTTTGTCAATTGCAAGTAAAAGTATTTATCCCCATATATTTGCTTCTACTTTTTGCAGAATATGAAAAAAAAAAAAAAAAGAATAATACATTTCTTGAAATAAAGTCTAAGCAGTCTACAGAATATTTGTCAGGAACATTGTATCTCTTAACACAACAATGAAGAAAAAAAAACAAAAAAAGAGTAAATTGCCCTAGAGATTTAGCTATATAAATAGTTTTTCGCCAACATTTTTAAAAATTACGAGTTTTTTTAGACATCAGTCTCCAATGTCCTTTTCAGAAGTATTCTTGAAATTGACTCTTAGAAAATGGGTGATTTTCTAAACAGATTTTAGAACATTGTAAGTAAAGGAACTCAGATTGATGATTTTGTAGTTCTCAGTCCACTTTGTTTTGGTCAATTCCAAAAATTCTAATTACATCCTAATTATTGACAAATATTTACTTTTTTCTCTTTCTATGATAGTGGTGCTTTTCCCTAGTGCAAAAGTCATAAAAAAAAGCTTAACAGTTACTCAGAATTCTTTCAAGAGTGAAGAGGAAAGGAGGAGAAGCATTTAATGCTTCCATGAGTATGCAAACTACTTGTGGCAGAGAAAAGTTGCCCATCTCTTCACAAATCTCTTTTTATGTCCTCTGATGGTTGGAGCCAGGCTACACAGAAGTTGTGATCCTTCCTTTTCATCAGCTAAAAGGAAAATAGAAATATCTCCACTGAATTCAGTTTCAGAAAAAGATCAGCTGTCACTCAGATCGTTACAGAATGAAGACTTGCAAAAGTTTGTAATTTTTGCTCTCTTTCCCCTCTTTCTTGTACAGGAAGGAGAGATGGGATAAAGTTAGGTTTTTCTGAAGAGGGAACATTTGAAATTCTACCTCAGGGACTAGGAAAACAAAGTGCTACCAGAAGTACCCCACTGACCTTCAGAAACCAGAAAGAAGATCAAGCAGCTATCCATCCAGAAATGATGTCAAGAGGCAGGTTCAAAGAAAGCAGTATTTTTTTACCCAGAAATTTTATAGGGATCTTGTCACAAGGAAAACGACGATCCAAATCTTGGATGGAGTCTTCCATGTAAAATGAGCAAACCATCTTCTTTCAGAGATTCTTCACCTAATCTTGAAAGTTTTATTAGAAAAAAAAATGACTCTGTATTTAAAGAGAGAAACGACATTTACAGTTTTGATGGACACCATATTATGGGGAAATTAGATGCCAGCATTTGGAAGACAGCTTTTGAGGTGATTGATTGAAAAATTTTTTACTGAAATGTTTCTGACAGCAAATGAATTCTCAAAACTAAAATAATTCCCAGAAAGATATTGCCTTGAATAAAAACTCAGTGAAAAAAATGATAGCTTTAAAGCATCAAAGCATTTTTTTAAGCCCCTTAAGAAGAAATTTGTTTTTATTTATATAAGACCATTTCTCTTTAAAGTTGGTTTCAGATTCTTCCTGTATTTTAGGTTTTAAACTATTCTAAGTGCTGGTGCCTTTGAAAATTCATATTCCTTTTGATTTGCTGTACTAGATATTAAGGAAATAGTAGATATTTGCATTGGGAAGAAACTGTCATAGATATTTTAGTGCCTTCTTATTGGTTTTATGCTGTAGTGTCAAAAAATACTTTTAATTATAAAAGACAGACAAAAATGTGGATCTTTTGAAGAAATGACTATTCCTTCTAAATATCAGAATTTGGATGGTTTCAGAAAATCATTATTATTAATTGATAAGTTTTTCACAGAATTACGCTTTTCAAAGATAGTTTATGTTTTCAAATATTCACCAGTTAGCTGTCTAGCCTATGGCCAGGTGAAAACAATTTTTACTTCAGGCTTGTCTTTGTTGTAATTTGATATTGATTTCTTTCCCAGAAAACTTAAACATAGTCAAACATAGTACTTCCAAACAAATGTGTTCAGCATTTAAACAAAGAGTGTTCAACATTGATAGGAAAGCACACTTCAACAACAGAAGAAGCAATGATTTTAATAATCAAAACATTTTGCAAACATTACTTTAAAATGTTAGTGTTTGATGTCAAGGATTTATTTTAGTTTATTTGTTTTTATTTTTAATTTTTCCTTATATTTATTTCTGATGCTGCAGTGAAATGATGCAATTTCAAGCAATAAACAAGAGCTGGACATATAGATTTTTCATGTTAGACATTTTTTCTTCTATATTTTCTATAAATTGTCAAACTGGCAGAAAAATGAACCAAAAAATACAATAAATAATATAAGAAAGAAGGAAGAATAAGTTTATAGTTATCACTAGCAGGCAGTAGTCTCTTGAAAAATATAATGACAATTATTTTTGCTTATGTGTTACTAATGCATTCCAAATGCTGGCAGTTGGAAAATATTTTATCCTATTTGCCACTACATGACATAGCAACATTATATACCATTAGTTGTATAATTATGGCACAAGCAAATCTTATCACCATTTTACAATCTTGGACTACATGTAATACAAAATATTTTCACCATACTATTATATGCAGATATAATAATACTTTTTTTGAAAAAAATAACAGATTTTTGTCCAATGTAAGTTAATGTTTTTTTAATTTTCTGCTAGAAAATTTAATTGGAAAAATCTAGAGGCTGCTGAAATATTCTGTCAGATAAACTTTGGTTAATTAAAATTCCTGTAAAATGATTTCCCAAATCAGATTAAAAGGTTCCTAATTCAGCTTTCAGAAATTTTAGAGTGATGTTTATAAATTTTTAAATTTGGTTTTATTTCTTTAAAGGCATGATTATGCTTTTATGTCTGTTGGAATGTGTCCAAAATCTTTAAAATTTAAACAAATCTCATATTCAAATATTTACTTTTTCAAGTAAAAAATCCAAGATAGGCTAAAAATGGAAATAATTTATGGCCTTTCAATTGTAATCATAATTTAATACCTGGGAAAATGTTTATAAAAATCACTGATTTATTTTATTATTAGTTAAGATATTTTCTTCTCTTCCACCTAGATTAAAATAAAGGATAAGGATGGAAATGTGATCACTTGTTATAAGATTTCTTGTGGTATTACTTATACTATGGACATAGTTTAAGGGCCACTGAAAAAAATTTGCTCTTATGATCATACTTATGGAAAATAAATATGTAAGGTTCCTATATATCTATTAAAGGAGCTCTCTACTCCTTTCAATTTAGCTATATCATAGAACTAAATTAATGTGTTTCTGTACTTTCTCTTCTGTCCTGTTCTTTGTAGATTGAAATTAAAACCTCATGCTTGATAAAAAGCAGGAAGCTGCTTTTATGCTGGTTGTTTTATCTCAACTCAAGTAGGACTTTTCAAAATTGTTTTCTCCTGCCTCTTTCTTGCAAGTTAAGCTTCCAAAAAATAATACCACAAGTAGTTCAGAAAAATAAGTTGCTGTAGTGTAGCTGGGGAAGCAGCTCTTAGCATTCTGTGTGCTGACTGATTTTTTTGTCTTGCAGTCTTATTGAATGCATTCCTGAACCCTTGGTTTTCCTGGTAGTGCCATCTTTTGCAGAAAACACCATCAGTATGCCTTATTAATACATCATTTGCATGACAGATTCGATGGCATGCTGAAGCAACTGCGCATCAGAGCAGCAGCACACTGATGGTTTATCACTGTAGCATAACATCAGAATGAAGCACACTAATAATATTATATTTAAAAAAAAAAAACTACAGGGGTATTATGTGGGAGTGGATTCAATTCAGGCATCAGAATGAAAGTATAACTTATAAATCTTTAGCTATTGTCACTGATGTAACAGAATTTGCATTCTTGCAGAATGTCACATTATTGTCTCCTAGATGCCTTGCCCCCTCAGCATGCGCCCCGAGGTGTTCTCTCACCAGTACACCTCTCTGATCTGTCTTGGCATAAGACACTGGTTCCCCGGAGTCCAATTGCACTCCCTTCTCCATTCTGGCTAATAGAGGCATAAGAATATATCCCATAATATACTGCTAATGTTCTTCTGAGACATTCTGTTAGAGAGTATGCCCTGAAATATGACACAGCCAGAGAGAACTGTGGCATTTATTACCATTAGTTACAAGGTCAAAGTCAATGGCACACAAAGCATGAAATGAAGATTAGATACACAGAGAATACTTTGCTTAGGAATTGTCTACTAAATAAGCTCTTGCTGTTGGAAAGCTTTGCTACAGAAGAGGATCAAATAAGTTGAAAAAGTCCACAATAATATCTTCTAAGGAAATTCACAAAAAAATGAAGTAGCAAATACTCCCCCATTTGGTCTCAATCTTAGGAACTTGGGAACTCTCCTTATTTTCTACAGAAGACATTGAGTTACTCAGAATTCTCTGGGTATATCTTTAATCTCATTGAAGAGTGTAATCTTTTTTTATTGCATGATCACATTAGTACATTATCTTTGACTAATATGAAACAATCCACTACGTGCGTGGAGTTGGACGTTTCCAACTAACCAGTTGATTCATGCTAATTGGAATAATAAAAATTAATCTTACTGAAGGTCTTCTTATTAATTTAAATATCTATCCAATGTTATCTGTTGGCAGATGATGATAACTATAACTAAAGATGTTAGAAAATTAATCAAAATATTTATGTAAATATATAATCAACACAAACAAACCCATAAACTTAGGCACATATGGACACAAGATTTATATAATATCTAATTCAAAAGTATTTAATACTCAAGAATGAAATCATATCTCATTAGTTAACTGACTCAGAGAACAATACTTTCTGCATGACTTATGCAGACCATTTAGGAACAAGTATGAAGCCTATATATCTTCAATGTAGTGTGCAAACCTTGGCTAACTAATCCATTTATGCTAATCCATTTATTTAAAGCACTTTAATCTAAATGACCTTTATGAATCAGGCAGAACCTTTTTATGTTTTCACAGATTGCTTTCTACAGAGCCTTCCTGTATGGCTCATTTTATTTTTTTTTTTCTAACCCACTCAACAAGACAAAACTGTCTGGAACTATCTGTGTGTTACCACAGCACTAGCTATGAAACTTCAGACTAAAAAAGAGAAACTAAACAGTTCCACCTGCTCTCCTGATTTGGATTTTTCTGTGTACCACAACCCTTTCTTTAAATTCTAAGAAATCCTGATCATTTTACCCAGAAGAAAGGACACAATCAGCAATAGAGGAGGTGTGAAGTCTATTTTCTCAAAGGGTACCTACATCAGTACATCTGAAGATGTGCAACAGAATTTTTTTTGATTTGGACTGGGGTTTTTTGAGGATAAGCATTGTCCTCTGGCTGCTACAGGTTTTTACTGAACAGTTTCAATTAGCATTTCATTCAAAAACCAAGACCTTTCATAATCTCTAGCTCCACAGATCTAATCTTTACAAAGACTCTAGTATTATTTTCCTTTTCTTTCTCATCTATGATTTATTCTTCTCTTTGCTCCCACAGTTTGGAGTTATTTGACTAATTGTAACTTTTCTTATACTTGAAAAGTAAAATGATGTATTAAAAAAAACTTACCTTGTCATGTTTTTACATGTTTTTCAACATATAATCTCACTGACATATTTGATACATAAAAAAATATTTAAGTTACTTCATACTGATAATATAAGAACCTAAACTACTGTTGTTTTGGGTTTTTTTCCTAAATTCAGTATGACTTTTAAATGTGTGCTTTGAGTTACTTAGGTTCTATTGTTAGGATAGTCAAGAGTTTTTAATCATCTGCCTTGTATGTACTACTTTATATTGGGGCAATCCTGCTGAAGAAAATAATTATTTGAAAGAACTGAAATTACCTAATGCAATCCCTGGTAAAAAAATGTGTATTTTCTAGTCCCATCTTTTCTAGCTATTCAACAGCAGGATTCTCAGACCAGCTTTAGAGTGTATTTGTAAAAGTGATTTTTCTCAGATTCAGATAAATCTGAATGTTTTAAGTCTTGGCATATATGAAAGTTTGTATTTTTGCCTTTTTCTGCTATGTCCAACATATATTGATATGTCCCAGGGGTTCAGTTATAAGTTTTCCACCCTTTTTTGGCTGTTTGCTGCCTTTAGCTCTTCTGGTTTGTCTGAGTGGTCCAGCCTGTCATTGTTATCCACAAACAAACAAACAAACAAAAAACCAAACAAACCAAACAAAAAAACCTCCAAATAAAATGCACTTTCTTTGGCTTTTAAAATACATAATAAAATCATGATAGTCATATTGTCTTTTTTATGTCCAGTTGTGCTGGATGGATTAGCTAATTTAAAACAACACTGAAAGAAATAAAATTATTCCATTGATGTTGGCACTTAAAGAATTTTTAATTGGTGTTAAATTGATTTTACACAGGATTAGGAGCTGTCTGATAATCAAGAAAAAGAACCAAGGTACCCTAATATTTATAAGATATGAACAGTAATATGTAATAAAATGTTAGCACTAGTTGCTATATTTGCTTAGTTTGCTCTCTATATCTGCCATGATTTAGATTTGAAAGACTTAAAACATTTCATAGAATCATAGAATGGATTGGATTAAAAACGACCATAAAATTCATTGAGTTCCAACCCTCCTGCCATGGGCAGGGACCTCTTCTACTAGACCAGGTTACTCAAAGCTGCAGCCAGCCTGACCTTGAATGCTTCCGATCATGGACAATTCACAGTTTCTCTGGGTGAATTTTTAAGTGTCTCAAAACCCTTACTGTAAAATATTGTCTTTATGTCCATTCTAAATTAACCCTCTTTTAGCTTAAAACCATTGCCACTTGCGTGTCACTACAGGCCCTGTTAAAAAGTCTTTCTTAATCTTGTTTATAATCTTCCTTCGTCTACTGAAAGCTGCAGTAAGGTGTCCTCTGAGCCCTCCCTTGTATAGACCGCTCAGTTCTTGGCCTGTTTTCGTAGAAGTGCTCCTCTGATCATCTTTGTGGCTATTTCTTATTGGTCTTCTAAGGACAAATTATTTTCTACATACGTAAACACTAACATTGAGATGGGTCAGCACATTTTCTAGCTTTTTCAGCTCACTCTACTGTTATCCATGCACGTTCAGTATCAATTTTAAAATATTTCCTCCCTCACCAGACCTTATTTGCCCTTGAATTCTCTTTGCTTAATAAGCTGTTCTTTCTTCATATTCTGGTGGAGTTCTAAGTGCTCAAGATGCCAGTCTGCTGATTGTGCCAAAATTGAAGCTGAATCAGCCAGTGAAATTGCTTTGACATCCACAATGCTGGAAACATTACACTTTTCAAAGCCAAACTAAGGCATTTCAAGATTATTTTTAGTTCCATGAATTTCTACTATTAAATGAATTTAGATGTATGTAATGTTTCATTTGGGGCTGCGATTTCAAGAGCTCTCTCCAGTTTTAGGCTCCGCACCAGGAGAAGGACACTTATGTAGTGATAAGCCCAGTGGAGGGCCACAAAGCTGTTCAGAGAGCCAAACATGGGGCATATAAGGAACCACTGAGGCAAGGACCTATTTAGTCAGAAGAACGTATGACTTTGGGAGATGTTATTATGTACAGCAACTACTTCAGTCATGGGCACAAACAGGGTCAGAACAGCCTCTTCTCAAAGTGTAAAGTGATAGGAAGGGCCATGGACAGAAACTGACGTGAAATTCCAATTATACATATTATGAAGTATTTATCCATTTGTTTACTTGTTTATTTTATCTTTAGGGTAGTAAAATATTGGAACAGGGACCAACACAATTTTTGTCTCCAGTTCTGGGGATGTTCAGAGCTTAGCTGGACAGAAGTCTGAGAAACTTGGTTTGATTATACTTGCCTTAATCAAAGCATAATTTGGATGATGATGATGACTTCTGGAAGACCCTTTTGACCTGAATTGTTCTACAGTTCTGCTACATTCATTTTGTATTCTCAGACACCTAAGATTTTTAATTATTGTATTATTTATTACCATATTTTATGCTGTAGTAGGGATTGTTATTTATATGTGTTCCCCTCTTGAATCAGCTAACTGTACACAACAGTGTGAGATCAAAAGATTTTTTTCATTCAGCTTTGTGTGTGTAACATCGACAAAGTAAGTGAAAAACCACTAAAAAATTGAATTAATTGTAAGGAAAGAGAAAACAAATTACATTTACAGCTTGATGGGAGCAATTCTGTATCAATTTATGGGTAACAAAGATTGTAAAAAAACTGAGAAAGGAATGACATCCCCAATCTGAGCTTCTGGAAAAAAAAATTCTGAATCCTAAACTGAGTTTCTGGGCGACTCAAATCCTCAGCTTTGGGCTGAAGTCAGCTAACAAGAGCTGCTGAAACTGGTATGGCTGAGGTCCCATAGGTCCCAGATGTATGCCCAACCCAGGCTCATTCTCATTTTTGCAGAACAGAAGGATATGTCATTAATTTCCTAGCTATTTCTAAAACTATGGCATTTGGTAGAGGGAAAACTTTAATATGTAATCTATACAAAGTGGGAAGGTTGGCCACAGTGAGTTTACAGGGAATTAGAATTTTCCTGTTTGCTTTTGATTCCTCTTTGTATTCTATTTTTTGGCATTTATGTTTCTCTACAGCAAATTGTTAAAAAGTTAAACTAAAATGCTAACTTACTGTTTCAGTAGCTTTAAGTTCACTTTCTGTTGATAATATTATTAGGCAGGGAAGGACAGGATAGAATAAGTATTTTGGTTTGTTTTTTTTTTTTCATTAGTTGCTATCAATAAAGTAAACATTTGCTACTATATGCCAGACCATTAAAATTTTGGCAGTTGATTCCTAGATTGGATAAAAGAAAGAAAATTTAGTAGCTGACATTGGTTACTTTTCTAGAGACCAAATTACTTATGTTATATTATGCTTGCTGTTTACAATACATCCTGCTCACAGATATGGCAAAATTATGACAACTGCTATATATTAAATGCTGATTTTATACTTAGGACTGACATAAAAAGGAAGGTACTATCTTTGAGCTTTAATTTTTTTGCTTTTAATTTCAACATTTGGAAAATTATATTCTTAATCAGCTTCAGTTTTAAATGTTTTCCAGGGATTTACTCCCGATTTATTTAAAAGCATGACAAAATGTATCTCCAAGTAACATTTGTTGCCAAAAATTGAATTCAGAAATATAATTATTCATTATATTTCAGTGCACTGTGTGGCACTGTACTATGCAGAAAGAAATATGGAAGATAAGAGAACATAAAGAAGGAATGTCTCCTTTAATGGGATTACAAAATCAAACCAGACTGTTACATAGATTTAGTGCTGGCTACAAAGCTTTCCTAAAGGGGAATGTTGAAGAAAACCAATAATTCCATATTGAGGCTTTATTACATAGGAAGAGAATGTGAAATTTTTAAAACCTGTCTACAGCCAAGGTAGACTAAGTTAAACTGCGTATTTTTAAATCAAAATAATACCTCATTTTTGCTCACGGCACCGAACCTCCCATCTGTTTTTCTGCTATGAACCTACATCCAAATATGTCCTTCTTCCCAACATTGGCAGAGGTGGCCCTGCATCAGGGGACTGCATTTCACAGCTGCAATGATACCTGCTGCACTGTTTCAATACTTTAGACATGTCACCACAAAAGAGGTATCATTAAAATGCTCGGATTTAAAAAGCATATAAAACTGTAAAAACAAATTGCTGTCTCCGACAAATATTTAATGCCTATTGCATTCATAAGTAATGAAGCCATCTCCAGTCATGAAATATGAATCTAGCTGGTATAAAGACATTTTATATACTTGATTACATTAAGCGTGTTGTTTGTGTTATGAACAATACATCCATGTACAGCTGGGGTACATAATAAAAACAACACACATTCGTCTTCTATAAGAAATATATTTTTTAAGAGTGATTACTATTTTAGCAGAGTTAAATAAAACACCATTAAGGAGGAATATGAAACTTGTTCTGTGAGGGGGAAAGCTACAAGCTACAATATCACATTTTAAAAATTAATTAATTTTTACAGTTATTCACAGAACTCGAGTTACTTACATAATATGCATTGAATTTCTTTAGATGGCTTTAGGGCTTCAACTCTTTGTGTAGAAGACAACTCTTAAGAATCTCTTTCCCTCAAAGTTTTTTCTTCTCTCCACCGCTTTTATATTTCATTTTTCCAGAAACATGGAAACTTCTTTGCAGCTAAAATGGAACATTGAGCATCCAAGTTATGTTGCAAAAAAAATATTTATAACCTTTTATTTCTACATTTTGCTTACCCAGCTTTATTTGGGAACAGCAAAAGTTTTTTCTAGATGAAATAAATAAGCTGGAAGTGTTCTCCTCCAACTATATTATGATTTACTTCCTAAAGTAGTTGAAATAGGTTAGGGAAAAACTCCAAACACATGGAAAAAGTGGCTTAAAGATATTCCTATCAAATTTTTGTTTTATATAGCATGACACATATTTTTGTGTTTTGTTCTCCACATTAATGTGTTTGAGGCTTCAGCAAGCTGTAAAAATTATTTGTGGCTTGTGATGTTAGAAGGATATTCTTTCTTATAATAAATGTGAATTGATATTAATTAATGACTGCTTTGAGATGTTTATTGTTATCTTTGGCTATGGAGACCCCATGATTTCTGGCCATATATTTAATTAAAAAAATATTCCACTGACCAAAATGAGTTAAAAACATGCTTATTTTTAAATGAAAGAAAGTATAGGAAGAATTTGAGTAGTGGAGTAGATTTTGATCAGTATACAAAGTTGTTCTTGGATGTTTTTTTTTTCCTACCCTGTTAATTTGTTTGTTGTTTTGGTGATTATTTTGTATTATTTTGTATGTACTGTGTAGGTCCATGATCATAATAATAATTAAACATCAAATATTTTAATTTACATTCAGTAATTCTATTTTTTGTGATCAAAATAATACTGCTTTAAAAATTTTATTCCAATTTATATTAATAACTGTATTTTATTTACAATAAGCATTGAAATGCTATGTTTGAAACTAAAAATAAAATAAACAAGTATTATTTTAAAAATATAAACTTATAATCTTATTAAAGTACACTTCAAGTGGAAAGCCTAGAGTTTTACAGCTTGGTTAATTCCAATGGAAAAATGGTGAATCTAAATGCTTATAACTAATTCCATTATTATTATTTCTAGTCATTTAAATTTGGGAAAAAAAATCCATGAAACATTAAATATATGCTTTCCAACATATTAGAAAATTTTAAGGAAGTTCTTGATGGAGTCTAATGTTTCTTCCATTTTAAAGTTTCATGCTGAACTCAGCACCCAGTAGTTTAGATATTTTTACTCTATTTCTATATAATTGTTCTATGGTGCTATATAAGTTCCTATACTAGAAAATCTGTTTTTCCTTAAACAAATAGTGCTTTAATGTTTGACAGTAGAACAAATACTCATTAAAACACTCAAACAATCTTCAACTGTATTAATGATTTTAAGATACAAACTATATTTGAAAACATTAAGCTGGCCTTATTCTTTAATAGAGAGGAACTTTTTAATTTACCCCATTTTAGTTAAACAGGGGTAGCCTGCATGAGAATGATAATATAGCTTGAGCCATCATTTTTGGTAACTAGACCATAATGTTTGTTCCTATGCTTTAGTTTTGATTTTGGAAAGGTCTCTCCATGATATTTCACTTCCTCTGCCAGGAAGATCCAGAGATTTATTCACATATATATTTTGAGAATTGTTTAGTTAATTCATGAAAGTTGCTCTTGTCTCATGGCTTTGTGCATAGGCAGACAAGTCTCCTTTTAACAATAAAAATGTAACCTTAGATATTTTACACATATTGAAAGTGTAATGAATTAATTTCTCAGATATCATTTAAGTTTTCACACCATCATCCATTCAAAACAGAGTAGAAATGTGGTTAATATGAATCATAGTAACTGGAACTGTTATTCATAATGGAAGAATATATAATGAAAAATACAGTTTAACTCAAGGTGGAAAGACAAATAAATGAGGTATTTTAAAAAAATAAAATTACCTACTGGGGAGGAAATTAATTAATTTTCCTAATTAAAAAGTATATTGTTGCAACATATTGTACAAATATTTTTTCTATTTGAGATTATATAAAAAGCTGGGAAAAAATACACTCCTTCTAATTAAATTAAACCTTAGGTTGGTTTTTCTCTTGGATTATTATTTACTTGTTTTCATGTGACATCATGTATTTTGTTCTAATTTTTATATATTTTTATAAATTTTTCTTAATTTTTGATATAAAAAAATTACAGTAACTTTGTCACTCTGGAAAGACATTTTAATAAAGAAAAAAGTACACACTTGTGCTAAAAGAGCTAGGAGTTTTAATTCTGTAAAAAAAAACTATAAAGCACTTTATGGCACTTAGAGGGAACGATGCATTTGAATATTTTAAAGTTTCTTGTTCTTCATCTATTCTGTACAGGTATATTGTCTTGCTGAAATACTAATGCTGCATTAGATTTTAATACGGCAGCGTCTGCATGGTAACGAACTTTTATTATTAAATTTTAGTCTATTAAATTAAAAAAAAAAAGTGTTCCTAATGCCAACATAATTGTTTTGGAAAGAAAGTACCAAATGACTGTGAAGTTCTGGATGTAAATTTAACACATTTTCCATAATGTTCACATGTTTCAGTGATAGTTCTTTTATTTCAGATCTTAAGCTCATTAAGTTTTTTTTTTTCCTGAACCTAGAATCAAATGGGTTGTGCAGAAAGGGGCACTTTGATGATATAATTTAGATATGTAAAATCTGATAATTTTCTTTCTCACTAGCTCATTTCCACTTACAGCTCAGTAAAAGTAGAACTGCTTATTAAATATTCATTGTACAATGAACAATACTATTTTTTGGTGATGTTTAAGCAAAATGTATTGAGTATGAAAGGGAAATAATTTCTTAATGCAACCAGCTTGCTTTATCCTTTCCAAGGGAGTATAAATGTGCCTAGATTGAGGACCCCCAAATCATAAAAAAATAGATTTCTAGTTTCATAATATAGGCATCATATGTCATAAGTTTTAGCAACTAATTTTTATTATTTAAAATATTTTATTATTTTTTATTTTAAAAATATTTTTAATGAGAAATCACTGAGACATTATCAACCATTGGGACAGTGTAACAGGGCTTTTTTAAATGAGTCTGTTTTCTGCCACAAACTCAGCTGAAGTTTTATCTATAGAAAAAAATAGCAACCAAGCCACACAAGTTGTCTCATGTATTATCAACAGTCATACATATTGAAAATTATGATTTTCACCCTTGTAGATGAGAACTACAAATTTATCACAATTTCAATTAAGCTTTTCAGGAAAATATTGAAACTGCTTTCTGTCTGCTTATTCTCTGATAATGATGGCATCCAGATAATGTCAATATCATTAATTTAATCAGTGTTGTGGATTGTGAGCCTTGAGTTCTACCAGGGCTGCCCTGCTTTGACTTATTACCCAGGGCTGTTTTTGCTCTTGAAATTAGTCCTCATTCTATTGCATTTCAAGGGTTTTTTTCACTTAGCTTTTCCCTAGTGAAATCACAGACTTCTTGTTGCATTGGAAAAACATTCATCCTGTGGTTGTTTGCTGACCAAATTTCATCTACTTATTTGTCTCTTAATCATTAAAAAAAATTGAAAAAGAAAGATTCATAAAGAATTTACAGAAACCTAAAGCTTTCCTGTTTCAAGTAATCTCTTGAACTTATGAATTTTTTGAATTCTCAAGATCTGTTAATGTTTCTTTTCATATATGGCAGTTTTCAATTCCATGTAAGAGGAGCTCATCTTAAAACATTATTTTCTAATGAAAGAAAAATTGTTAAATTAATCTAGGGGTAGTGTTCCTTGATAAAACTGCATTGTCTTTTATTCTACATTCCATTTACACCTGAGCCTTCTATTCTTTGAAATCTTTTCTAAAACTTTGCACATGAATAATGTTAAACTAATGTGCCTTTAATTTCATGTATTACTTTTCACACTTTAAAAATATGGTACAATCCCCTCTCACAGTCCTTGGTCATAGATTTATATAAAATACAATAAATTTTACATTTTTTTATTCGCTCCTTCTGAATGCAAATCGTTGTTAGATTCTGTTTCTTTGAACTATACCCAGATTACCTCTAATCCAAATATTTTTAATCTGTTATTTTCCTTTACTTTCATTGTAGTCCTATGTGTTCTTTTGGGGTTTTTTACCTTTATGTCTCAAACACTTTTTGCTTTCCTTAATAGGTTTTGCTTATTCGGTCTTATATTTATTTTTCTTTTGGTGAAGTAAGCTTCTAAATATGTTTGCTTTGCTAGTCAGCTTTTCTTATTTGTCTTTTTTAGATTTTTCTTCTTTGACAATGATTTAATTGTTCTTTTCTGGAAAATTTTTGATTCAGAATCTTTTCATATAATATTTTTATCTTCTTTTAAGTAAAAATACATAAAACTTTGAATCCCAGCATTTCTCAATCTCCTCTAAAATGGAATCTTTCATGACCTAATAGTAGTTCACTATGTTCCTGTAATTGTCAAATTTTTTGCTTATTGCCTGGTCTTCAAAATGTTCAGCCAACTTCGCTGTTATTTCTTCCCTCTCTGAATTAAATTTCCTTTCAAGTCAGTGAAGTCCGTCTTTAAATCTCTGTATTTCATTTGCTGCCCACATAGTTTAAAAACCTCTATTTATTTACCAACCCATTGGCATTTATTTAAGTTCTCTTTCATTACTTCTTATTTTCAGATTCTTATTGTTTGCTGAACATCTTCAATTAGTGCATAAATGTAATCCATAAATCCATAGTTCTTTGCACATTGGAGAAATCTTGTGGTTCCAAAAGAAACCTCCTTTTTTTTGAGCTTCTTTTGTCAAAGAGGAACATGGGAAGAACAAATTACATATTAGTGTGATGCTTTATGCCATCTGGAATGCATGCAAAGCATTCTGATGAACTTACCTACCTGGATCGAATAATTCTCCCTGCCAACCTTAGAGGGAATTTGCTATGCAAAACAGGCAATGCCCTGGGTACTCTCTATAGCGTTTTCACTCCTCACCACTTCTTAGACAGAATATTGCACCTGGTGAAATAAAATATGCCTACAGAGAACTCCTGACTGGGTTAATCAATTCTTTTGTTAATATGTGTGATTCACTGTCTCAGTGTTTTAGTCTAGATATTTTCTTCCTCCTATGTTCATACATAAATTATCATTTATCACATAAGAACACACAAAATAAAGAAGCCATTAAATAAAATCTATATTGGTGTCAGGTAGAAGCTCTTCGAATATAAAAAGGTATTTATTAATTAGAAATTATTGGTTGCTCCATAAAAGCAAAATCCTCAATACTTAGATATCAATACTGAGATTTCACGCTAAAGATTGCTCAATTCAATAGTACAGTACTACTCTTTACATCTCAGATTTACCCCTTGAATTAAAATTCTATATTTTAGTAAGTTGTATTTTAATATTTTTTAATCTGAACAAATTCTTTCTCTTCAAAGACAGACTTGGCTAACATTAAAAGATATTACAAACAAATCATTTCTCCTAAATGCTCTAGGATGCTGACCTCCATGTTGTACTCTTATTTCTCTACTCTAACTGAACGGTAAAATCACACCATGGATAAACCCTGGCATGTGGACTTACGAATTTGAATTCCATATTTTCCATGACTGTGTGGAACAATATTGTTGCAATACAGGATAATTATTTTCTTTTTCACCTTTAGTCAAGGAAAAGGAATATTTTCATACCTCTAAGATATTTTGCTGTCCTCAGTGATTAAAACAATTAGTTACATGAGCCACATCAGCGCTCATGACTCCTGTGATATAGAACAATAAAGTCATTTTAAGAAAAAAACCCAGAAATTTTATAATTATAGGAAATTTTGGCTGAAAAATCTTGCAATGCCATATAATGTAAAATTTAGAAATAAAGGATCTGTTTAAAAATAGTTTTTGATAGTTCTTTCACATACCTATTCCACTATCCTAGACTTAATTTAAAGAGTTTCACCTTTCTTCCCTTTCTTTCTGCCTTTCCCATTTTCTTCTCCTTCCCATGTTGAATAACTTCTGCTTTCATGTTATTCCAGCTATTTTTCACTATTTCTCTTCTTTCTCAGAACCTGTACTTTGTATCCTCCTCAACTCCATTCTGCTCCTCTTTATGCTGCATTTTCTGCTTCTCTCTTCCTTGAAAAAGCATATACTGAAGCAAAAGCTGATCATATTATTATTTGCCTATATTATATTTGAACTGTGACCCCTCTCTGTTTTAATTTCTTAAATAAAACCTGCGATATATAATTTGAAAGTCCCATGTATAACCTTGCAGAATATGTGATTGCATTGTCAGAGAATTTTAAAGCAAAGGAGGTAGATGTTCATTCATTGCTTCCTAATTATGCTTGAAGCTAGAAAAATAATTTTTAAAATGTTATGCTTTGGTTTTATAATTTTATTAAGATGATGACTCCAAGAGATCTATTTGCAGGACAGCAGGAAGACACCAAAAGTGCAAAATAACTTTTTTTGTATAAGCAAAGGAGATGAGCATATCAGTGAGAGCATTATTTAAGACAGAGGAGTAAGGGATATTATTTCTGAAGTATTTAAAACTCAACAAAGTTTTAAATTGAAAACATAATAAAAAAATTACATCCATAGTTGTACAACAGAAAAAGCCAAATTTTTTGCTTGTAGTTCCAATTTTCCAGTTACATCTGTAGCAGAACTGTCTTAAGGTGCCCTCCTGCAAGTTCCAACTATTCTTTTTTGTCCCGTGATCTATTGTGTCCCCACCTAGTAATTTCTAGGCTGTGCAGGAAGCATGAATGAACGGTTGGAAGCAAAAAAGGAGCTTCTTGAATTCTCCACAAAGAGACTTGTGAAAGAAAAGTTATTTTTTGAAGACATGCTAGAACAAAAAAAGACATATCTTCCTTTTATGTACAAACTCTTACCTGGAGCTGTAGAAAGCCTTGAGGGATTACTTAGCAGTGATAAAATTTGAATTTCTTATTGTATCACAATATATGTTTAGTTTTGCCAAGAAAAGCTTCTGAAAACAGAGTAAATTAGCTGTCTTTTCTACAGATTTTCCTTTAATTCTTGTTGATGCACAAAAGATTTTCTACAAGTCATTTGCTATGGGAATTATTTGTTTAACTCAACACACAAATTTTAATTTAGAGGTGCCATGAAGGTTTGTAAAGGAAGTATATCTAAATTTAGGATTCAGAAAACATTTAAGCTATTTGCTAAAATAATCTTCTTGAACTTAACTTTTTTTTTTTTTAATATTACAATCACCAGCACCTGAGTATGTATTTCAATGTATTTCAGTATATCTGGAAGTAAAGCTAGCTATTAATAAATCCCTGTCCTTCCTCCTCTTTTTCTGATTCATAATTTATCAAGCTGTACTGCAAAACCAGGCATATTAACTTAGTATATTAGTAAAGAGAACCTGTCTTAAGGTTATCTATTTACTTCAGTGTATTCAGTATCCACACTTCAGACAACAAATGCTGAACAATAGCATTAAAAAAATACTTTTTCCACAGACTTAACACGATTGTAAGTGGATCTCAAGTCAATGTTTTTTACTTGTATTTCACTGTTGCGATCGCTTCTTTCTCTCTTCTTATCCTAAACTTCTCTACCCCTCTGACAACAAAATCTGCTGTGCCTGGTCTCCCATGACATACAGGTTGAACGCAGGTCTATGGTGGAAATTCAGCGCAACTTTTAAAAATGTACATAATGTGTGATTTTGCACAGTCTCTGTACTTAATTTTGTAATTAAATAGTTGGAGTTTTTCTGTTTTAGTTTTAAGCAGGAGAAAAATATTTACAATGTGGTATTTACACAGTCTTTGATGCTTTTGATCTGTTCTGAAAAATGCTCAAAAACCTAATAGGTTAAATTGTCAGGTGCAGGTTACCGTAATTCAGCTAGCAAAACCAGAGTGATTCTTCCACCTCCCACTCCAAGTAGCAGAGATTGAGGTCAAAGACCTCAATTTCTTCATTGAGACTTTTTTGTCACAATTTAAAACATTGTATTTTAACCTTTGATTTTAAAGCATGGATGAAAAATTGCAACCATGACCCTTCCTTATTTGGGGGGGAACAAAAGATTTTTGTTGAACTAAGGTTTTTTAACTTGTGCAAATATACCAGTGAGAAAGAAATGCTGACAAACAATAATTGAGGTGAAATCTGAAGTCACGTCCTAATTAGAGCTTTAAAAACTGGCCCAAAAGGTCTGGAAGAGAGATGGTTGTTCAGACAGGCAGAAAGTTTTTTACTATTGGGCTCCTGCATAAATCTTCCCAATTCCTGATTTTCAGTCAGTTGAAGGAATATGAAAATGAATAAAAAATTAATTAAATTGTAAGACATTTGGAAGGGAAGTGTCTTTCAAGGTAGTGGTGGTGATAATACTAGTAGAGGTTTAAATATTCTGCAGATGAGAGGAAGATTTTTACTCATCTTGTGTGAAACATCTGAAATATATGCAGAAAACCTAAATACAACATCTGCCTGAGAAGATATATACTTATAATACAGATAATTATTGAGGGACTCACAGGCAATGTCAATACACTTAAAGGCAGGGCTGCTGTTCAGTGGGACCTAGGTAAGGTAGAGAGACAGTGAGCATAAATTGAGAAAAAAGGTGTTCAGGGTGGATCTAAGGAAAACTTTTTCTCTAAGAATAACTTAGCTGTTTTTCTAGAGATGTCTTAAAGCAGTCTTCAAGACCCAGCTGGACAAAGTCCTCAGCCACTGGAGGTCTGACCTCAGAAGTGACCCTGCTGTGGGTGGAAGGTTGGACTGGAGACCTTCTGAGCTCACCTGTGACATGAGCTATCCTTTGAATGTAATTTAAAGTTAAGAAATTATAAGAGGTCTAGGGCACAAGAGTAAAATTGAGTAGACTTACACTCATTCCCTTATTTCTGAGAAACTTCCAATATGAACTTTTTCATCTGACTTCTTTTCTGTTCCTCTCTTCCCTGTTATTTAAATGGAATTGAAAAAACATTTGTTCTCCTCTCAGGTTTTATCTAGGTAAAGGTTCAATTATAAATTCCTAAATATAATAACAAAGCTCCTAAACTCAAAACATTAATCAATTTTACAAATTGTTTTGAAGCTGGAACCCTGAACCTTTAGTTTCATTTCACATGCTTTGAGCCTTGCCAGCTATTCATTTTAGGTATTAGAAGCTAAACTGAGACAAAATTGTAACTTGACAAAATTAAAGGTATTGTCTCACCAAATATTGAAGCCACAGAGTGTCTCCATTTTCTTATGATAAAAAAAATAATTATCTTGTGTGCATACCATAAAAGTTGGGATACATCTAAGAACTACTCTTAAGACTGAGCCAATATCCATGTAAGAGATCTTTGCCAGCTGTAACATCCCTGTATTACATAAACTAGGCAAAAGACTTAATCTGAGTGAATAAAAAACTTCAGATGTCTTAACAGAGACACGTAACTTCTCAGGTTAGTTTACTTTTGTGTGACATGAATTCTGATACTAGTAAAATACACAAAATAATAAAACATATTGAACGGTCATTAGTTGTGGGAAAATTAGTAGATAAAACTTCTATGCAACTAGAGAACAAATGTATTTGAGGCTGGGAAAAGCCTAAGATAAAGGGTTTAAGAATTCACAATCACTTTAAATATTTGTTTGGATGTCACATAGTTGCCCCTCCTAGAATAAACATACATGAAGTTTAGAGGGCTAAAGATAAATGAAGTATTTCACTATTGATGAGAAAATCCTCTTAAAATGCAAGCCAATTCTAAAGAAATTAAAAAAAAAAATAGTGTGTTAGTGCTAGTGTACTTGTCAGGACTTGGATAATGCTGGAAGAATCAAAACAAGACTGCGGTCCAGTAAAATCTTCTTGAGATGAGATTGGGGGTGATAAATTTTAAAAAATCATCTTTTCATTGCATCATGAATTTTTTGATTCTGTTTACTTACCAGTTTCTTGAATACCTGTGATGATGCAGGAACAAAGGCTATATATAGGTGAGATTGAAAATCTGATGCAAAGGACACTTAAACTGTGCTGTCTTCAAAAAACCCTGTGTAATCACAATTCCACAAGTCTTCATCAACTGATTATATTCCAGAATCTGATGGCTCCCGTTCTTTAGGATTTTTTTCAAAGCTGCATATTCATTCCAAACTCCCATTCCTTGATTCACCCTGTATTCCATGACTGAGCAGTTCCAGAATATTGTTGAAATTGCCTCAAGATTCTCCCAGGTTTTGGAGTGACTTTTCTCCCACTGTTCAGTTTCAGAATGGAGAGACACAGTCAAAACCTTAGATTTAGTCGACTTAAATTTTACCTTTTACCTTGACTTTCTATGGGCCTATTACAATTGTATTTGTCTACCAATACCCTTTTAGTATGATTTCTTATAGGGTCCTCTTTAATGATAACCAGTCACAAGAATCTGGTTAAGTGCTCTAACCAGCATGATTATCGCTGTTCAACTAGCAGGTGCAATCCCCCGATGGCCTTCTCCCAAAGATGCAGTGTAGGTGACAGCAGGGTTAAAGGCAGTGCCACTTCATGTTTGACATGGTGACCTGCTAACTGGGGAGGCTGCAGATTGAAAAGCGTTGCTCGTTGTAACCCAGTGGTTGAGAATATACATCCTCACTTGTTTTAAAACTGTTGTTACTTTCATGGAGCAGTGAAATGGTGGAAATACAACAATCTTTCAGATGCCTAAGCTGACACAATGGCTCAAAACTTACCTCAAAACCCCCCTTTCTCTCCTGTTCTATTCACTTTCCCAATCATATTTTTTTGCTTAACCTAACCCTGCATTAAAAAATTACTAGTCATCTAAAGAATTCAAAAATAAAACAATTACTATTAAACTTACTTTCTGGTAGTTTATGGCTACAGAAACAGCAAATAGTTTCAGCTGGTCACCATAGCTGATGCAATCTATGCAAATGGCAGATGAACAAAGAAAGTATCTTCCAGTGGCAGCAAGAAATTGTTCCTCTTTGGAGATTTTGTGAAAAGTCAACCTAAGTATTTGGTTTAATTGGTGTGTGAAGGCTTATTAGACCATTGCAACTTTATTTGAACTAAGCAGGCAGTTGAAGAACAATTGAAATATTAAAAGGGTCACCCTGCTTATAGAGGTTTTCTGAAACTGGTAATGTTTCTAACTTTTTATTTCTCTCTACGTATATAATTATAGGTGGGAATTTGATGTTTGAATTTTCTTCAGACTATAAAGTCATAATTATGTCTCTTCTGGTTTGTTCGCAGTTTCAGAACTTTTCTCTTTGCTTTCAGTTTTTCCGGCGACTTTCTCCTTCATTTCCCTCCATAGAAATGTTCATCATTAGACTGAAATATATAGCCTATTTAGAAAACTTAGCATTGTTTTTACTCACTTCAAAAGTTAAACATATAAAAAAGTAACATATATGAAATTTTATAATTCCATCAGGAATTATAAATTATATCATAATAAATAATTATATATATATAATATTATTATTGTAATATATATTATATATTGTATTTCAAGCAATGAAAACTGACTGCTTCAGTGCACATACAAGCAGCAATATTTTAAAAACAATACTATTTTTTTTACTGATGCCTTGGTGTTTCCTTTAATTTTGTTTTTATGAAAATAGAGCATCTTTGGACATAATAATTGTTAAAGATTGCAGCCAGTTTCTAAAACAGAGGAAATAAGGAAGAATACAAATCTATGGCTAAATTCTTGCAAAATATCGGGAAAATTTATTTGATAGCAATGGATTAATTTTGTTTCTCATAGATTAATGTGCTGATATAAAATACAAAACTTTTATTAAAATTAGAAATTATCTTTCTTAGAAAAATTATCATAGCGCATTTCATTGTAACATTAGCTTACGCGTTCTCTGCATTTATAGAGTGTGAATTTAAGAGGAAACAATGTAAAACCCAGAGCTATAGAATTTACATGAAAGGCATACGTAAAACCTTCTTTATGATATTTTAAAGTTGTTAAACAAAAATTTTCCCAGGTAAACTGAGCTGGATAGTCTCCAAAATTTATTATTGAAATTTGGGAGAACCTAAATAAAATTCTTATACTTTTTAATGTTTAAACTAAGTTTTAAAAGTAGCTTTAAATATACTTCTATTTTGAATGTTTTGTAAATCTGGTATAAAGTAGTATGAATTTTTGCAAAAAAGGAAGGAATAAAAAGCCCAAACCCATAATTAAGAGAGCCATAACAATAAGAAAAAGTGTAAAACATGTAAGATCTGAAGGCAGCTATCAAAGACAACAATGACACATGAAATATGGAAACAGATGGAAATTAATCAATCAGAACAAATCAAAAGGAACAAAAAAATGCAGACCATATATATGAAACTTAGGGCTACAGGCAAAAAAAAAATATATTAAAGGAGGAAGAAATGCTGATATAACATAACAACTAATAAGAGCTAGCATATATCCAGCAAAAGGGGGATATGATTTTACTGTTGCAGGAGAGCTATTGTGTTGTGAAAATTTAATTAATCCTGGATACCAAAACAGTAGTAGTAGTAGTAACACATTTTAAAATATATAGAATAGTGGATATATTTTTTGTATATCAATGTTCCATTAAACTATAGGATACCACACACAGGAAATTAATACAGACAGTTACAATAATGTAAATTATATATAACATATATATATATATATATATATATATATATATATGTGTGTGTGTGAATATATCTAAATAAATATAGATAATATATGTATATATATAACACACACACACATATATATATATATTTATTTATTAAAAAAAACATCTATTCTGTGACAAAGACAACAGGCCTGCAAGTGTATCGATCCCACACAAGAAGGTGTTCTAATTTATTACCATCAAGTGAGCAACCCAAGCCCAGAAAATTCAACTGTCAGGTCCAAAATAACTTCTCCATGACTATTTGTGATGCCACAATGATTCAAATGTTCCAGTGTTCCTGAGATTGAGCTAGATAATAAGAGATCACTAAATGCCCATTAAACATTCTTCTTTGGTTTAAATCTCAGTATACGGCTGAATTGCCTAACATAACTTTTTATATACAATATACATTAAAAAGGTATATTTGCTTGAAATTCTATTTTGAGATCATATCTTAGTCTAAGCTACCTTAGACAGCTTTGCTTTTATAAAATAAAATTCTATATATCCTGAATTTGCAAAGCACCAAACTCTCCTGCATGGAATTCAAATTCATCTTAAAATCAGAGAACAAGTTGGTGAACCTCAATAAAAATTGATCTTTTTTAGAGAACCTTGGATAGAAGCTTGACACCAGGTGAAAGATTTCAGCACAAGATAGTACAAGTTTAAGCAATTACGTGAAAAAGAATATTTCATATTTGTTTTGAATGAAGTAATTTTCCTTTCTAAAGTACATCAGAAACCCAAATTAGCAATCGATTAAATAGAAACATGTTTGATATAATTGTGGACAAATAATTTGCAAATATTTTTATTTATATTTTCCCTTTTTTTCTTTTAGATATTTTAAATTGAGTATTGTCAACAAAAACTTAATGAATTTTGGCTTGAGTATGGTGTACTCTAACTCTGTATTCTACAAGTGAACTGACTATAATCCTGCCTCTGTATTGAGCTCTTAGTTTGGAAAAAAATTTTAACCCTAAAATCTAAGGAAGAAAATTGAAGAAATCTCTACAGGATTTGGCCAAGTAAGACTGCATTTTTGCTCCTCTGCAGGAGAATATGGGACATTTTCCCTTTTTAAAGAAACCTTAGGGCTGGGCTCAAATCTCATAGTTTTCCTGTTTGCTTACTTCATGTATTTCAGGTCAGCTAAATGCCAGAGCTGCTTACAGATACTCCTTATTTTTAGATTGTTTTACCTAATCTACATAAAATGTCGTGACTCCAGGGAATGAGCCACATCATTCACCAGCTGATTCAAACAAGCTATATATCTA